GATGTGATTACAAGCTCTGACGATAAGGTTCGAGTTGTCAAACTTAAAACCCCTGCTGGCGAGCTAACCAGGCCAATAACAAAGATTTGTCCTCTACCGAGAGATGAAGCCCCTTTTTCCCATATTCACCCTTAAATCTCTTTATTTCTCCATACTTCCTCTTTTGAAGTGTAACTTCAACCGGGGGAGAATGTTGATAAAACAACCCAATGCCCTCGCGAACCCTGAAACGCGGATATTGCGTTAGACGTGACAACGTCTATCGCCTCCCTTGATCACGCTGCATAGACGTGACTGACCGCCCCGACGGCGCCTGTTTTCCAGACATGCGTTGCGCGCAGTTAGTCAGTCGACCGCGACCGCCCTTGACGATAGAAAAGTGAAAATCGCCCTATCGCTAAACCCCCCCTTTAAGCCCCCTTCACTCTTAATATTCCCTTATAAGTCGGTGTCCTCTTTGGACTAGCCCCTCAAATGGTTTCTTTCGAGGAAGTTTAATCTCTATTTTAACGCAAATTGTGTTTGTGATTAACTCAAATAAACCGATTGTTAAATGCCTTATCTTGTACCGTCGTCGCGTTGTGACAGAATATAGTTTGTGTTGTGTTAAACGGCTATCATTTAAAATAAACCAGCCCCGCAAGAATACAGTCCACACCCCCAACAAATCAACCCGTTAGATGGTGGTGAAGCAAGGATACGTTTCTCCCCCAATAGAAAAGCATACATTAACTTACAAGAACCTGATCTAAGAACATAGCTCCCGGAAAAGTTAGTTGTGGTTAGTTTACCTCTGTCTAACGAAAAAATTAAACGATCTTTGCTTACGTATTTAAAAACATTATCAAGTATCACCAAATATTTTTTAAAAATTTTCTTTCAATATTTTGGCTTCCAGAAAAATATGATTTTCTCAAAAACTGTTCAATAGATCGGCAAAATTTTAGAACCAGAAAGTGCGCGAGATCCGGGGCCATGACATTTATTTCAGACATTTTTTCGATTGTATACAAGGTTTTTCAATTATATACAAAAATCTAAACGACGATGAAAATCGTTCTGTTCGCTATTAATTTATTAGCCGTAAATCAAAATTCGTGAATAATATGGCCAATTGGTTTAAACAGTGTAATAAGCCACATCGTGAGCTACAATTTTTGTATTTACGGTATTCGTCTATCGCATACGCTGTTCGAGATATTTAAAAAAAATCCAAATAAAAATCACAATTTCTCGCCCCAATCGAGACGCGATGACGTCATTGATTATTACGGCGTACTGCATGGTTTCAGAAAATAAGTATTTTCTTGAAAACCACTTCCTCTATTCGAAAAAATCATACACCGGGAAACGTGGGAGATCCAGTGCTATCACCCCTATTTCAAACATTTTTTGAATTATATACAGGGTGTGTCGATTTTTGCCAGAAAATCTAAAAGTTCCTTAAAATTTCCGTTTTCGTGGGTAAATTATGGGCGATAAATGAAAAACTGTTAAAGATGTGATAATTTGATTTGAACAGTATCGTAAATTGTGTCGAGAAAGAGTTTCAGGTTTTGTATATCATACAGGGTGCGCGAGATATTTAAAAAAAAACATTACAAATACCTGTTATTTGTACAATTTACCACAGTTTTGCCGTCACTTTGAAGTTCGGCGAGACTTAAAAGATGCATGGGTGTATGCATACTAAAATTACATCGATTTTGGGAAAGTTCCATAGTGGTCCGCAAGAGCACTATAGAAAAACAATGCGTCCCTCTAGGACAAGCAACCGCGAAGGGCCACCTTTTCAAAATAAAAAGCTGCTTCGCGCTACGCGCTACGAACTTGCCCCGCCCAGCGACGATTTTTCGAAGGCAATCTTGTTCAATTTGCGGCTTAATCGTTTTCTTATATTTCCTGTAATTCTTGTACACTAAAACTTATACCCACACATTCTTCGTAGCTATTAAAGTGTACCTAAAAATTCTGTTTAGTAATTTCTGTAAGTCTCTTATCCAGTTTGTTACATGTAAAATATATAGGATTCACTGTTTGTCTAAGATCCTATTGGGTCTTCATATTTGCCACATTTGTTGTAATTTCGTAAAAGAACAACGTATTGAAAGTACAAATTACATAAGTTTGTAAGTACGGTACGGAGATATTGACACCAAAAATGAAAATAACAATGGCACAGAGAACTGACTGTTCTGTGACAATAGTAATCACTTATCTTGGTATTGCCAATTATGTTCGAATTTCAAAGATTGATGTTGCGTTCTTATAAAAATTAATTAATTTTCCAGAAAAATTACAGCAATGTAGCAACTTAGACAGTTGGGGGGTGACGCATGTGCAACGCCTTCTCTACGAAAATATCATAGCTACCTGCGACGCATCAATTTTTACCGTAGTAGGGCTACTATATTATCTTATAGCTATATGGAAGAAACTAACTAAAACACTTCCATTTAGAGAGCACTGCAGAATATTGCAACTGCAACATTGCTTTCAAGTTGTCAAGTTGTCCGCCCTATTTAACGATCCCTGTGTTGGAACTTTTCATTTTATTTCTCTCTTGCATTAGGAAACACAGTAATAGCGGGTTTGGCTTATCGCTGTCATTGCAATGTTTAGTTAGAAACAAACATTTGATTTTATCACTACTTTCGGTTAATAGATTGTTTTCTTTTTCGTTTTCATTTTATTTGTTACTTTCCCACGTTCCATTATATATATATATATATATATATATATATATATATATATATATATATATATATATATATATATATATATATATATATATATATATATATATATTGGAGCAATACTAAGAAACCCAAAACAAAAAATTACTCTGGAAAACCAAGGAGTATACAGTGTAGCATGCGGATCGTGCAGCCTGACGTATGTGGGACAGACCAACAGAAGGATTTCAGCCAGGCTCGAGGAACATCGTTTAGCCTTAAGAAACAAACAAACAACATCTGCTTTGTTTCAGCACCAACATCAGACAGGCCATAAAATTGATTTCGGCACTTGCAAACAAATAGCTAATATTCCTGATTTTAGGACTAGGATTATACGAGAGGCCATCGAAATAGAAAAGTCCGGACACCTCAATACGAGAGACGACGCTCTGCATTTATCCAACACGTGGAGAACGATAATCAAACAGCAGAGCGATGCGCAGCAGCCAACGGGGACATCGCAACTACGATCGGGCGAAATTAACAACGCGACAATTCAGGGGGCGGAGCCACCTCCCCCCACGCACAAGCAGCACCGTTACCATCTCCGGCGTAGAGTATAAATACCGCACGCACCGCCGATAACCTCCCAGTGTTCGAAGTGTTTTCGGAGCGCGAGCATTGAAGATGCCAAGTGAGATTTTGGCGAAACGTCTGCAGGATTCCAGTCGGATGCAGGATTTGCAGGATTCCAGTCGGATGCAGGATTCCAGTCGGATGCAGGATTCCAGTCGGAGTTCAACGAGCGAACGGATGATATCCCGGAGTATAGTGTCATCATATATATATATATATATATATATATATATATATATATATATATATATATATATATATATATATATATATATATATATATATATATATATATATATATATATATATATATATATATATATATATATATATATATATATATATATATATAATTTTTTAACCGTTTTATACAGTTATCAAATTCATATTTTTCATTTCATAGAAAGAAAGGTCCTTTTTCGCGAATTTCATTAAAATTAGAATTAGCTAAAAATAAATTCAAAATCGTCACTTCAATATGATTATTGTTCAAAATTCGAACATCAGAATCATCATCATCATCATAATCATTATGAATTGTGGGATACGGCACAATATTCTCGCCAGTAAATTAAAAGTGGAAAAGATAATATTAATGATTTGCAAAGTTGCAAAAAGGAAGTCAACTGCGTATTCAGAAAAATGGAGGCAACAGTTGGCAGAATATTCCTAACTAATAAATTATTGTTTATATACCGAGTGACACAAGAAAGTGGGAAAGCTATAACTTTTAAACGGCTTGAGATAGCAATTTTAAATGTTGCACTTCCAGTTTGAACGGAAACGGCAGTAACTTCCGAATTTTAAATGGGACAACCTATATTTTTTTGCATTTTTGGATTCAGGAGATCATTCTACGTAGGATAGGATGGTTTTTCTCTTTTTTTTTAATTATTATCTAACTTTTGCAAATTGTGTCTAGGAGGCTGTGACCATCATAAATACTATTTACCGGGTCACCTGATCATGTGAAAAATTGTAGAGGAAACATTTCTTTACTGGCCTAATGGCAAATAGCATTTAATGTCATGAACTATTAATTTTTTTGGATAATCTAGTTTTTTCAAATCGCACCCAAGTGGGAACACAAACTTTTTAAAACCGATGCTTTTATTGCAATATTTTGACACCAAAATTTTAAAAAATAAGCTCACAGGAAGGAAAAACCAGATAAGTAAATACATTTTTACAAAAAATAAAAACAAAATATTGCTTAGTGTCATGATTGAAAATTCTGACAGTTTATACATTTTCAATTTTTTTTTAATACTAATGTGCTTTTTTCTTTCCGCTGCATGAGCATCAGTTTCTTCTGCATTTTTAATCTTACCGACTTGAAAATTAATAATGGACATTGGACATTCAAGCTATATTAACCCCCCAAGGATTCCAATTTTTAGTGCAAGTGAAAATATTATTCTTTTATCGAATTCTGGACAGTGACAGCAATTGTCATGATCAAATAAAAGGCGTCGCGTTGGTGTGACGTTATACATTTTGAACATCTGCATAAAAGGACTTTTCATAAATAATAAATCTACGCAAAAACCCCTAAAGCTTTTGCATTAAACCTTTTTTATTTAATGAAAAATACAAAAATTGGAGGGGATGACATTATATATAACATAATAATGAAACATTTTTTCCTTTCATTTCATTTTAATGTTATTGTTGTTATTGACTTACTTGTATTTTTTCCCTAAGTAGACTGGCCAATGAGTTCACCGACGTGACGGAGTTTGCCGGCGAATTGCTGTCTGAAAATTCATCTTGTCCGGGCGGGGTTAACATCCTCGGGCTCAACACCGATTTCCTTCGGGCATTTCTCGTGTGCCCGCTGCAAAAATTTTAATTTTGATGGATCGCGACGGCTACGTCAAACGAGCACGCTAGAGAAATCGCGGCGTCTGAACAAGTGTCCCTTTTGAAAGTCCGTTAACTTTTCGAGACTCGCTCATTTATTTAACTTAATGTAATAATAAAATCATTGGAAGAGAGATGACCAACATCGCGGCATACCGGATGCGTCTACTACGTTTAAGATTAACGTCTGCTATAGTTTAGTTCAAAATATACCGTAAACATTTCGGCTACTACGAAACTCTTTCAGATTTGTGAAGTTTCTAAAAAATTTTACACCAAAATCAGATTGGAGAAGAACTAATGAGAATAAATAAACATTTTATTATATAAATACGGTTCATCCAGACTGTCAAAATTAACCCTGTTGCCAAGCTGTGAAGGAAATTTCAAAATCTCTTCTGCTCAAGAAATGAAATTCCATCAAAATGGTCTTATAATATCAATAATACAATAACCTATTGTAAAAATATATATTCTAAGAGGCTATTTCAGAATAGGGTGGAATAATGAAATTCGCCAAGAAATTTTAATTTTACTGTTAATAATATATAGGCTTTGTTATCATTTTTGACCACTTCGCGAATAACTAGAATTGACCGCTTTTGAATTATTTTTATCGAGAAAGTGGACTGTCAGAAGATAAGTTCACCCTATTTACCTATAAAAAATAAACACCAATCTTAAATGAGATTTTATTTTATTAGATTTAATTAATTTTTACTTTGAAAAACGTGTGCCTGTGAAAGGCATAACCGTAAAGCGATCAAATTGTTTTCCGGAGGCGAAAATACTTAAAAAGTGTAAAGCAGTACCGAAGAGAGCAGAAGAAAATATTTTACCCGGATGAGATGTGGGTTAATAATGTATATTATAGTACCAAAAATACGGTAAGACCAGTGTTTTACAAGCTGTCATGGAAGGCGAGTATCAAGGTACCTCCGGGTAATCATCCATACCACACCAGCAGTACCGAAAATAACCGAAGAACAGCTTTTACGTTGATGAGCTGTGGGTGGATGAAGATTACATAGCCTTAAACTATTAAAATAACTGGAAAATACGACGACCAAATAGCAGAAACGATTCAAAAACCAGTTTGAATGGGTGGCCAATTGACTCCAGTAATAGACACCGATATAATTCGAACCAAACTATATCTTCTGTCAATCACCATTTTATTTTTCGAAAAGTCAAAACGACAGATTTATGTTTTCCTAAATTAGGTTGGCAGCTGAGATGCCGAAGTAACTACATCAATTGTACCATCTTCGTTAAAGCGAGATCATCTTGTATTATTTATTAAGCGTTCTCAGAAAGACACAAGGCACAAGGCATCCGACTGCTTGCCTATCTGCTGTTGCAATAAAAATGCTATTGTTGCAATTAATTTTTTTAAGAAAATGAATTTAGGGCCTTAGAAGCCCTTCTTAATTGGTCACTCGGCACACTGTTCACCTTCAGAACCTAAGAGTAATACAAAATGCTTACTTAAAATTATGTTCAAATATACAGAAATTTTACTCTACTACATACAGTACAATGTTAGTACAAAACATTTCAAATTATCGCTATAAATTTATAGAGCTGATATTAGTTATTCAGTAGGTTGATTATTTACTTGTTTTTAAATTTTTTAATGTTTAATTAATATTAATGGCGTTTATAATCGTTACTCGTGCGTTTTATCATACAAAATTCACAACATATTCTGCGAATTACAATTAACTAAGGGATTGTAAAGTAATTAAATAAGACAAGAAAATCGGTATACCAAGAGTCAGAAGATACTAATATGAAGCTGATGTAAAACTCTTATGGTTTGGTATCCCGTCGCGTTTCGTTTTGAATGCCGGTAATTGAAATGGACATAAATACATTATTGACTGTAATGGAGGCACAAATATATAATGTAATGTGCACCATTATCTCGTTAACGACAGTAAAAAGTAAACTGAACCGCCAACCAGTGTTACAAGGGGAGAAGTAGAAATTGAGGAATACGTAAGTTCATGGTGCCGTCTAGCCTAGGTAAGAATTTTAAATTTGATTTAGTGAGCCGAACTGAGACTTGGCCATAGGTCGACGAGAACATTCCGAAGTAATGGCGTATGATTTACTTATTACTGAAGGTGAATGTTTCAATAATTCTGAGCATAAAATTTATTTCAAAATTATATACAGGATTATTTACGTTATATGGTACGGAATATTTTGGCCAAGGTTTTGTAGAAGTTTCACTATTAGGACACGCGACGGTCCATTATTGTTATAGTTTATCTCATTCTTCATAATGTTGAGTTTCGGCGGATCCTCCCCAATAAAACTTTAACGATAATATTACCTATTGTTATTGGGTAAAGGCATTAACAAAAAAATTATTCTTTCTTGAGTGACAAGGCAGGGGTGGGCCAGGTATATTGCTGTCCTTCAGATATATTTTTTGAGTGTTGACCACTTATGGCGGTGCTGAATAATCGTTTTTACTATGCGAAAAAATTATTTTAAATGTCGGGTCGAAACTTTAATCAGTAGAGACAAGACGCTTTAAAAGAAACCTGTTTACAAAACGCCAATATGGTCAATAAGGCGATTAATAGTGGAGAATGGAAGAAACAGTATATTATGCAACAAGTGCGGTAAACGGCATTTGACTCACGAGTTTATTTGCTCCCAAACTCGTACGTTAAAATCCCGGAAATTTCCGAAGTGGCTGGGATCCGTGGGAAACGAAACCGACGTGGAAAAGTGACGCGTTGCGATGTTCAAACTCGCCGTATGGACCTAATAAGAAGGAAAATATACTGTCTTTATCAAAGCAAAGCTGGTCCTGCTTTAGATAAACTGAAAAAGAAGCTAGAAGAAGATGAAACCAATATAACTATAAGGCGTGTCACCCTCCATAGAGTTGTCCGTAAAATGGGATTTAATTACCGCAATAGATCCTTAATTTACCTTAATGAAACATACGAAACATTATATCCAAAGGATGGGTTGATTCCACTCAAAACTGTCAAACAAAGGAAAACGCATCACCCTAATACCAGCTGGGTCAGAAGACAAGACGTATTCATCCCAAACTGCTCGCTGTTGTCTGCAAAGAACATTACAGATTCCAACTTTGATTATCATGAGGATACAAGTGCCGAACTTTTTTAAAATTGGTTCCAAAACGATATTTATTCCCAATAACAGTGTTATTGTCGTGGATACCACAGCCGTCTGTAACAAGAATATTTATTAGAAAATAATATTTATTTTGAATTCAGTTACAAAAAAGCGCAACTTCAGAAAATCCTAAATTCATATGGAATTAAGAAACAGAAACAACATAAATTCTATAATTAATCTGAATGACGACTCTGATAGCAAAAGCAGAATGAGATTGAGACATTTAGAATAAAAATGTAATTATGTTTAGATATTCCTAGCTATGAATTTATTGTATATATTTAATGTCATTGTTTTTACCAGAACCTTTAGGAGTCCGTCCCTAATGTTCTGTCCTTTAATACCTACCGGGCCCGAGTTTTATTGCGGTCGGCAGGTAACTTCCATAATTGCGGACAAAAGCCAGCACGATGAAGATTGAGACAGACTATATTTCTTAAAATGACCGTCATGTTATAGTGGTTGTCCCAAGAGTTTAGCAATACATCATACATTATGTCCCAATTGTAAAAACATTCGCAACTTATACAGAGAGGCCAAAATTTATCCTAATCTAAAATCTAAGAGGTCTCTTTAATTCGATTACATGCTATTTTTTTAAATTATTGCTGGAATGGGAAAATCCAGGCGGTCTAGTAAAAGTCATCAATGAAAACAACTAAGAAAAGTTTACTTTTTATAACTAGAAAACGTTTATATACAACTTTAATTAAAGTGGATTTTTTTCAATGACTAAATACTTGAGAAGTATAAAGCAGCGCCGAAGGGAATAGATTTTTTTTTATCTTGAAGACACGTGGAATAATCAAGCTTCTATAGTACCAAAAATGTGGAAAACCAAACACATATCCGGTGCCCATAAGGGATGTATACTCTGTTTCTGTAATCGGAGAGAATTATAAATCATTATTGAACTGTAGAACTTAATGATCTTAGTTTATGCTGATAATCGAGAGTGGCAGGTAGGCAGACAGGTAGTTGACGCACCTTTATCTTAGTATTTAAAATCGGAATTATAGTTACTTTTCGGCAGTTGGTGGTAAAGTCCGTTCTTGAAAATGACTGAAGACATGAATGCCGATATTTTTGAAGACTAGTTCCAGCAAGTGCTAGATCCAGACTCTGCTATAGACATGAATAATGACAAAAAAGAAAATATCCGAAAAACTACTCACGTCTTCTTGGAAACAAAATAATAAGCAGCAATTTCCAAAAAAATATTCTGAAAAAGAGCTACTGGAGATTGTAAATATGAATCGCCTTAAGACGAAATATAATCTTAGTACTGTGAAAATTGTGAAAAATGGAGTAAGTGGGATAACATGCTAGAAAATACTGTAGAGACCCTTATTATTTTTCTGGACTTCAACCACTATAATTGATCTAACATGATGGCTAAAATTTCCAAATAAATTTCTGTTTCTAATCAATTCATTGTGAATAACTATTGCATCTCTTTTTTATGCAAATAAAAAATTCTGTAAAATTTTATTCTGTTATGAATAGCAGATGTCTTTGCTGTACAGTGTAAAAACTATCTTAACGTTTTTTACAAATTTGTAAAGTTTGGGAACTGCATTAATTGACTCGAACTTACCAAAAAAACAAACCTTGCAGTTCGATTTGCCGTAGAACCACTTAAAACGCAAAGTATAGAAGGTGGGCCGCTCTGTACAGCAGCCGCATAATCCTCTTATCGCTCATATAGGTTATTTAATTATCAAAGCCAATATAGTCGATGGGAGATTATACCTTTTAGGGCGTTCCAACTCATCTGTCCAATTAATAATTGCTTTTCTATCCATT